GCCTCCGGGGAAAGCGCGTACGTATAGATGTGCCGGGTCATGTCCACACAGGGGCTTCTGCTGCTCCCGGTTCTGAGATGTTAGCATTCCGCTGGGAAGGCAGGAAGCAGTGCTGGGGTGAAGGTTGCAAGCACCAGCCCTGTTCAGCCTGAACAACGCTGTGCTTGCAATGTCAGCCTGCCGTGGCGGACAGGTGGGGGGATCAGCGTGGGTGGCATACAGGTGCCATGTGGCTTTCAGAAATTGCTGGAGAGCAGGGCTAAAATCCCATGCGGCCAGATTCTGCCTTTTAAGGCTGTGCATTTCCTGTAGGCATTTCCAGCGCCTCTCAGTGTATGCCTCTGTGATCTTTTGTCTCTGCACCTGTGGGATGGTTTTTGGTTGCTGTTTTTTTGCTGCGCATTTGTTCACGTCTCTGCCCATCCCTCCGCCGCTTTGAGAAATCTCTAAATAACAGCAGACGCAAAGGAGAGCATTACTGAGCATTACAGCAACGCTCCTTGCCAAGGCGTGCATTCTCTTGCGTGTCTAGGCAGTGATGGCTTGCTACAGGGGAAAGCAGATATCGCTGCGGTTCCGTAATGGATTTAAATATTAGCAGAAGGTATGGGGAAGGGAACACATGTGAAATAATTTTAATGCAGGAATTTTGCACATTTGTTTAATATGCGCAATTTATTCCCCTTGCAGAACTCGACTCTTCTTAATGCAGGGTGTTGTTTTTTTTAAGGGTGTTCTCAAGGGCTCAGTAAAACCTTTCAGGAGATCTAGCCCTTGATATATTTACAGTCAGGGCTAGCTGAGGTGGAAAATCACACATGCTTAGCACACAAGGCACACAGCTTCCATTCATCCCAGTGCAGCTTGTGCAGGAGAATTTCCCAGCGGGTCATTCCTGATGGGTTGGACCCATCTATCTACTCTGCTGCCATACCTTGGAGCACAAGATCTATTGCCTGAGGTGGCTGCCCAGAGCAGCAGTGGTGACGTTCAAAGTCTTCTGTTCTTGCAGGTCACAGTCTGCAACGAAGGGCATGGAGGGCGCACAGGAGCAGCACTTCTGTTAGAAGAAGGGGTTGGCAGCCTCAGCCCCAGGGGCCAAATGTGTCCCTCTGGGCTTCTCTATCTGGCCCTCAGGCTCCCCCCAGGCCCCACCCTTCAGGGATCTTGCTTCACGCCCTCCTTGGTTGTTTGGGCCTGGCTATGGGGATCATGTGTCATGCTTGATGGGATGGAGGACAGAGAGGAGTGCATGAATATGTGTAGAAACTGGCCGGCTGCCGAAAGGTCCGCATTTCATTGCTCTACCCACTTAGTGGCATAGTGTGGGCACAAAATTTCAACACCTGGTGCTGCCTCAGTACAGCTGTGTGCTTTCGTCACTGGGCTCCATTGAAACGGCTTCTCCATGCGAACCAGGAAGTGGCCTCTCCAGGCACTGGAATGACTCTTTTTTTCTTATCTCTGTTGCTGCCATCTCCTGGGCGATGTGGACGCCATTGAATGTGCATGTGTACTCCATCTTTCTCTCTCCCTCCCTCCATGCAGCCCTAGGTACTGGCAACCCACACTATGCCACTGTATCCACCTTTGTCTCTGGTCTGACCCACCCACGGCACGTGACCCATCTGGAAGGATGTCCAGAAGGGAATGAGGTCCTCAGAGAGTGTCCTGGATCAGAACGTCAAGCGCTTGGCCAGAACCTTTTGTCAGGGCGCCTCCCGTCAGGGGGAGACTGGCTGGCCCAAGCTGCTAGGTCAGGGTGAACTCTGGACAGGCCTTCCTCCATTGGAAGGCCTCGCCTCGCCACCCTTTATAACTCCCTTGTTTCAGAAAGAGGGAAGAGAGCAAATTTAGCTAATGCGTTTGGAGAAGTGTTGAATGTAAAGCTCAATTTATGTAAAGCTTGCATTGTGCGGGGCTGTACGTGGCGGTGTCTTATGCAGCTCCTGGCGTTTCCGTAGCACGGATAATACTTATAAATCTCTGAATCTTATTACATCTATTAGCGTTTGGCTCTCCCTGTTTAGCATTCATTTAACATGGTGTTTCGAGGAGCTGCCGGAAAGACACGATACTGACCCCAGGCACTTGGATTTGTGTAAAGCACCCCTATCTTGAGCCTTTTGTCCTTTGCCTTGAGCACCTCTGGGCTGGAAAGGTGACTTAGGAGACCTGTACGTAACCAGGCGAAAGCAAGGAGACGGTGTTGCCCTGGATGAGGCTCTGCTTCTTTTGGGAGGAGGCAATCACAAAAAAACGTACACATGATGTATGGTTTGTATTTCCTAGCCCATGCCATCCTCCTCTGCTTCACACGCCCTGAAAGCCAATGTTCCTAAAAGGTTTTTCCCCTCCCATAGTTGCCCCTCTGCTATCTTCATTTTGTTTTATTGCCTTTTCCATTACCACAATATCCCATAGTTTATGACTCTGTAGAATAATTGGCTTGTCTCTTGCAAGGGTGTCGTGTGTTGTTTTTTGCTTCTGATTAGACAAAGGGCTGTTGGTTGAGCATCGAAAGAGTTGGAGGGGACAAGAAGCCATTTATTTCCGCCTCACCTGCTAGGCAGGGGTCTCCTCTCACAGGCCATTGACTTATGTTCTCTGGTCCACAGTCTAGATCATTGGGGTAGGGAATATTTTTCAGTCCAGGCCCTCAACCTTTGAAGGAGCAACAAATGTCAATTTTATCTGTTCATTTGGCTACTTTCTGTGCACACTCACACAACCATCTCTCTACCCTCCGTCCAGGCAAACAAGAGGCTGTGGTCAGCGCTCAATGGCATGTTCCAGTCAGGCAAAAACTCTCAATCTGTGAAGCAAGGCTAGTAAGGGCTGTAGCCTGGGGAGAGTTTCACAGGTCAGATTGTGAGGCCTGGGGAGACACATCTGGCTCCAGGCCTGAGCTTCCTCAACCCTGTTCTATATAAGCCAGAAAAGTAGTTGCTCCAGATGACTCAAGTAAGCAAGCCAATCAGCACACTTTGCTGCAAATGGTTGCAGTTTGTTCAAGGCAGTGTCCTCCCTCCTGTACCCGCACATGCTAGATTACATAATATTGAGTTGATTGTATTAAAAAAAGTCCAATGATACAACAGTAGACGTGAAGGGGGACACATTTTAATGCGCCGATTAGAGGTTCTTAGTGGTTGCAGTGAAGCCTCAAGACTGGCTGAGATGCTCTGATGTCACAGAGAGGTTGCACAGATAGGAGTTTTCGGCTGCCATTGACCAGGTTGTGTTTATGCGAGAGAAGGTCAGAATTTTTTTAAAGCAGGGGGCTAAAGTTGGAAGAGAGAGCAGGACAGAGAAACATGGGTTGGAGGAGAGGATCAGGAGAGAGAAAAGGAAACTGTGCTGAGCCAAGGAGTAAAGATTGCCACGGCCAGCAGCTTGAAAATTAAGAAGGAATGGAGGTTATATATTTGATTTGAAGCAACCGGTCAACTCTTCTGCTTCAGGCCTTTCGCTTAATATTGCACAAGTCCTACAGCAAGACACCTCTGTGCCCCTTGCGTCCTTTTATAAGACCATATAACACCGGTCTTGAAAGACCTACACTGGCTCCCAGTACGTTTCCGAGCACAATTCAAAGTGTTGGTGCTGACCTTTAAAGCCCTAAACGGCCTCGGTCCAGTATATGTGAAGGAGCGTCTCCACCCCCACCATTCTTCCCGGACACTGAGGTCCAGTGCTGAGGCCCTTCTGGTGGTTCCCTCACTGCGAGAAGCCAAGTTACAAGGAACCAGGCAGAGGGCCTTCTTGGTAGTGGCGCCCGCCCTGTGGAATGCCCTCCCACCAGATGTCAAAGGGAAAAATAACTACCAAACTTTTATAAGACATCTAAAGGCAGCCCTGTTTAGGGAAGCCTTTAATGGTTAATAGGTTATTGTATTTTAGTGTTTTGTTGGAAGCCGCCCAGAGTGGCTGGGGGGACCCAGCCATATGGGCGGGGTATAAATAATAAATAATAATAATTATTATTATTATTATTATTATTATTATTATTATTATTATTATTATTATTATATTTTCCCTGGTGGCATGTGAGGGTGTGGCCCACTCATGTGATTATGTTTCCCTACATAAAGCAGGTGTAGGGAACCACTGTCCCTGCAGATTTTGCTGAGCTGCAGCTCCCATCACCATTGGCCATGCTTCCAGGGGCTGATGGCAGTTGTAGTAGAGACTTCCTGCATTGCAGGGGGTTGGACTGCATGACCCTCAGGGCCCCTTCCAACTCTACGGTTATACGGTTCAATGAATCCCCACACTGGATATAAAGACTTTGACCTCCCCAGGGCTGAACTTCTAAATGCAGCCTGGAAGCCACAGTCCCAGGCTTGCCCCCAAACCCTGCCCACTCGCTCATCTCTGACATAAAGAAGCGAATTGTGGCAAGGGCTCTCCGTACATGCTCAGGAGCACTCCTTTGCTCAGTAGCACAGAAATCTGGTGAGGTGGAATATGTTCAGGTGGCAGCTCCAACATCCCCTGTCAATGTTTATAATTTTGACTACGCTGTGGGTTAAACCACAGAGCCTAGGACTTGCTGATCAGAAGGTCGGCGGTTCAAATCCCCGCGACGGGGTGAGCTCCCGTCCCTGCTCCTGCCAACCTAGCAGTTCAAAAGCACCTCAAAGTACAAGTAGATAAATAGGTACCACTCCGGCGGGAAGGTAAACGGCATTTCCATGCACTGCTCTGGTTCGCCAGAAGCGGCTTAGTCATGCTGGCCACATGACCTGGAAGCTGTACGCCGGCTCCCTCAGCCAATAAAGCGAGATGAGCGCCGCAACCCCAGAGTCGTTCGCGACTGGACCTAATGGTCAGGGGTCCCTTTACCTTTACCTTTATGCATGAGTTTATTCTTCACTGGTATGCAAAGAGGGGCTCGGGTGCTGGTACTCAGCCCAGGCGAATCCCCGCTCACATTAAAGCCCCACCTCCCGTGAATGTCATGGTAACCCATTCTTTTCTTTCTCTCCCTGCACTAGCCAGAGCTCAGGAGGTCCAAGCTGAGAATGTGACCGTGGCAGAGGGTGGCCAGGCCGAGATCAACTGCAAGCTGCACCAGTACGATGGCTCCATAGTGGTGATCCAAAACCCATCCCGCCAGACGCTCTTCTTCAACGGCACACGGGGTAAGAATGGGGCTTCGGGAACGGTGGGGTTGTAGGCTGGGCTGGAAAGCTAGAGGACCATAGAGATGGAGCTGGACGAGAAATGCCACCCACTCAATCCCAGGCCTGCCATCTGGACCAGCACCCCCTACAGGTCAGCCCACTACAGTGCAACCTGCTGCAAGAAGAGAACAAGTATCATATCAGAGGTGCTTGCAGAGCACATGGATCGAGGCAGGTTAGCCAAGCCAGATTCCTCATGGGGAAGCAAGCACGCAAACAATGTTCTTCCTTTGGGTCACTAGCCAATCTGACCTGGGCAGTGGGGAATTGATCGGTTACACCCTGAACTTAAGAACAACCAGGTCAGAGTCCAGGGCTGACCCAAGATAGCTTGGGAACTGAGGAGGAAAGTCCAGATGGCACCCTCCCTATGCTAAGTGTATCCAACTACACACTAGGGCTGGACGATATATCAATATATCATCCAAAACAGATTTGAGGTCCATATCATGATATCGGTTTCAGAATTATTGACATGTCAATATATTGTGAATATATCGTGTAGGTGTGGGTGTGTTGTGCAAAAATCACAACGTGGGAAACACCGTGAAGCCAGCCAATTCTTCTCTTGCTTCCTGTAGCCCCTGTTAACCCTGCCGGCTCAGCTCTCCCCTGCCTCCTGCCGGGGGCAGCGAACCACAAGATCAGGCACCAGCAAAAACCCCAATACGGGGGGAAACCGCAAAGCCAGCCATTGCCTCTACGTAGCTCCATCCTTATTTCAGACATTGTGATATATCTGTATATCATGATGTCTCGCTGGTGATATATCACTATGTTGAAAACCAGATATCATCCAGCCCTAGACACTTCTGCAGCTTTCGGTAGCAGCCCTAAATCTTCCTGCCCGAGGGATCTGCTGCATTTTGCCTAATGGTGGTGCCGGCCCTGACTGAGTGATCCTCACTTAGAGAAGCCATGAACTGCACCTCCATGCCACCTGGCATCTTGTCTCAAATAGAGACAGTCCCTTGTACTTGAGAGAAAGTGGGGAAACCCCCTCCCCAAGACGGTATTTTTATTGCTTCTTATGTATTTGAATTCTATGGAATGCAAGTTGCAACACGAAATAAAACATAAGAAATAAAAGAAGCAATGGAAATACAATTGAAAACCGTACAGCATCACACCCTGATGACACTCTTCTCATTTCACTGGTCCATAACATGAGACACCTTTTCCTTGCCCTCCTTACAGCCCTGAAGGATGAGCGGTTCCAGCTGGTGGAGTTCACCCAGAAGCAAGTCCGCATTGTGCTCTCCAATGCCCGCCTGGAAGATGAGGGCGGCTACTTCTGCCAGCTCTACACAGAAGACACGCACCACCAGATCGCCATCCTCACTGTCCTGGGTACGTGCCGCTTTCCCGCTCCTGCCACCTCTGCCACAGCTGCCGCCGCCCTATTTCGGGATTGCAACATAAACTGGAAGAAAGAGGAGTTACAGTACCATATCCATGAATAATAATAATAGTTGTTATTATTGCTAAAGCACCCTCTTCGGTCCACCCAGATCCTCTGGGTCTTCTGCAACAATTGAAACACATCACAGATACATTAAAGCCAATTAAGATTTATTTTAAAAAAATACTAACAAAACCCACAAGCACAGTTCTTAGAGAATCGTGGAACTGGAATGAAATGGGGTGATCCTCTAGCCTAACCTTCGACTGGGCTCATTGCCAGAATTGTTGGCACAGGAGATGGCTAAGGACGGATAGAGCCACTCTAGGTCTACGTGGAACAACAGAAGCCTCAAAAAGCACCGCTTACATATATATTCATCTTGTTAAATCCAACTAAAAAGTTAGTGGAATTGAAAGATGTGGCAGGTGTCCAAATAGTTTTTCATCCAGCCCTGGTACCTTTGTGACCTTTGGCCAGGATGCTGGAAGGTGGGAGCGGGTTAGCAAGAAGGTCAGTCCGTTCTTACCTTGCGGTGTTATGATGAATTAAGGCCAATGCAGGCCTTGTGCAAAATTTATTTATATCCCCACCCTTCCAAGGGAGCCAGGGCAGCAAGCACACCTGTGATAAAGCAATCAAAACATATTTTTAAAGAAATCCAAAATTTCGGATTTTTAAAACAGATACCTCAGGTTGAAGTAGCATCGGGATAAGTATTTTCAGGTTGTACGCTGCGGCGACCTGGAAGTAAAGGGACGCGTTACTTCCGGGTTTTGCCGCTCACGCATGCGCAGATGGTCAAAATGATGTCACGTGCATGCGTGGAAGCGGTGAATCGCGACCCACGCAGATGCGCAGACGCGGGTTGCATTTGTTTCTGGATGCGAATGGGGCTCTGGAACGAATCCCATTCACATCCAGAGGTACCACTGCATTTATTTTTTGAGGGGAAAGGGTCCCGGAACTCTGTTCCAGAGAGTTCTGGCTGAAAACAAAGCCCTGGTAATTATAATAATTTCTCTTTCACACAGCTTTCATAGAATCTTAGCATTGGAAGGGACCCCAAGGGTCATCTAGTCCAACCCCCTGCAATGCTAGATCATCCATGACAGATGGCCATCCAAACTCTGCTTAAAAACCCTCCAGGAAGGAGAGCCCACAGCCTCCCATGGGAGTCTGTTCCACTGTCAAGCAGCTCTTACTGTGAGAAAGTTTTGCTGAATGTTTAGTCGGAATCTCCTTTCTTACAACTAGAAGCCATTGGTTCGAGTCCTACCCTCCGGAGTAAGAGAAAACAAGCACGCTCCCCCTTCCATGTGCTAGCCCTTAAGATATTTGAAATGGCTATCATATCTCCTCTCAGTCTCCTCTCTTCCAGCTCTGATCAAGTAACTCTGCATGTTGTCCTGTTGTTTGAGGTGTGGTTAGGTGGGCCTCAAGTTGCTGCGCCTTCTCTTCCAGCAAGACAACCAGCTTTCACTTGCTGCTCCTTGTTCTCTGGCAGAATGACAAACATGGCGCAGGTGTTGCAGGTCAATGCAGCAGCTCCCCTGCCCTCCATGTCTCTGGCCCTATGCCCACCAAGAGACAGAACTCTGGGCCTCCCCCTTAAAGACCCTCACAAACACCCCTGTTTGTGAGGTCTGGTCACAAGCTCCCACGACATGCGCTGAGCTAAGTTTGACTTCCCCCAAAGAATCCTGGGAAATTTCATTTGTTCAGGGCTCTGGGAATTGCAGCTCTGTGCACGACAAATTAAAGTCCCCAGGATTCTTTAGCCATAAATATATGGTGTGGTGTGGATGTGGCGAGATGGAGAGGGAGACAGAAAGCTGCCTCGTCGAGTCAATCGCTAGTCCGCCTCGCTCAGTCTCCCTAGGCTTTCAGAAAGGAGGCTTCCTGCAACCTTAACTGAGACCTCCTCCTGCATGCAGAGACCTTCTGCATTCCCCAGCCTGTAATTTCAAGCGCCTACCTAACCTCCCACACAATCACTAGACATTCATATGCTTCTTTTAAGGCCGAGCATTGACAACTCGTATGATCATGCTCCGAATCAGTATGCTGTATAATTTGCCCAAAGGAAAGGGTGGGGAAGTCTCCACATTCTGCACTAACAGAAGCTAAATCAGGTATTCTTAGGAAATTATGCAAATGTCTGCTTCTTTTCCATAATTCTAATTTTACAACTGGGGCTGGGCGAGGGGGGGGGTGTCTGTGACAACGAAGAGCAATGCAGAGCAACAGAATCCCATTTCCTGACTCTCTGATACTCTGTTCACTTATATCCGTGGCTTCTGAGGTGTTATTTTTTTCTACCCTAATTTAAGGCCTAGCAGCTTTTGTTTTGTTTTTGACCTGAAAGTGGAATTTCCCAGGATGCATTTGTACTGGTGATCTTGAGGAATCCTGGAACAGTCACAGAGGCCCACCTGAAGAGCTCACCACCCTTGCCATTTGACCCCCTAGTTTGGTGGTGGGGAACTGGCGGCCTTCCAGATAATGTTCCGTCTTCACTGGCCACACTGGCTGAGGCTGGTGGAAGCTGCCACTGGGGGTTACCTGCTTACCCAGGGACAGGGCCTTCTCAGTGGTGGCTCCCCATTTGTGGCATGCCCTCCCTAGTGAGGTGCATCTGTCTCAGGCATTGGGTGGCTGAAAGGTTGCTGGAAGCGCTGGAATTATTAGCTATGAGAGTGTGGGCTATTGGGTTTCCTAAATAAAATTTTAACTGGGTTTTCTTTTTTGAAGGTCTTGCCAGTTTTTAAAAGATTGTTTTGAGATGTTTTAGTTCAGGGGTGGCCAACTTCCAAGAGACTGTGATCTACTCACAGAGTTAAAAACTGGCAGAGATCTACCCCCTTTTGGGGGGTTCAGGTCAAAGTTATTGAGCTTTTTTATACAGAGGAGAAGGGCCCCGTTTTTAGGGGTGCAGGTCAAAGATCTAGAGCTTTTTTTAGGGGAGCCATAGTTTCTGAGCTTCTTTGGGGGGAGCCAGTGATCTACCACAGACGTCCACTGATCTACCAGTAGATCTCGGTCTACCTATTGGACATGCCTGTTTGAGTTGTATGCTATTATAGGATATAAATTGAATAAAACATTTGAAGGACCACAAGTTCCCCACTCCTTCTCCGGTTGGGTTTACCAGATCTGAGACTGATTTGGGTGCCTGTGGAGGTGATGCTGTGGTGGGATCCGGTGCTGTGTTGGAGACAGCCCCACTGCCTGCCCCATAACCCAACTGCTGTTCCTTACAGTGCCCCCTGACAACCCCTTGGTGGAGATCAAGGAACAGGCCGTGGAAGGAGGAGAAGTGGAGCTCACCTGCAGCGTCCCCAGGTCACGCCCTGCTGCCACGCTGCGCTGGTACCGGGACCGGGACCGGAAAGAGCTGAAAGGTGAGGGAAGGAGGGAGGAATCCAGGGACTTAGCTTCCTGTAGGAGTTTGGCCCCAAAGCTGCAGAGCTGTGAATTCCCATGCCAGCTGACCTTCCGAAGTGGAATGTGCGGAACGGGACGTAGTTTTCCTTTAGATTTTTCTCCTACTTGGGTGAAGCAATAATAATAATAATAACCATCAAAAATGCATATCTTAGGGCAAAACAAATAATTTAGGGTGAAATAAATTTGGAAACGTGTGCACTGAGATGAAATACATATTTAAATATTATTTTATGCACTTAAAAAAAATACAGTAGTGGAACAGAATGTACACATGTGAACCTGGTAGGAACTGATCTGTCGTTGGGGACATGAGTTAGCTTAGTACTGGGATATCCAGTTAATACACTTCTAGAAGGTGCTGGCTCTTTTTCAGCTTGGGATCGGTTTTAGGGAGCGTCTCCCCAATAAAGTTTGTCATCTCCAAACGCCTGAGGCTGAGGCTGCATCCATATGTCTCTTTAACTGCACCATATACACGAGCTGAGTTTATTAGCAGCTACTCCTACTCTTCCCCCTGCCTGCCCAGAAAATACTTAAAATAGAAGGGCTTTTTGGCATCTTAAAGGCAGATGTTTCTTTTGGGGCTCCTTTTAGACTCGTAAGTAGGCTGCTTCTGGGTCTCTCCCAGCGCTTCTTGGCTGCCGGGAACAAGTTCTCTGCGCTTGCGTTGGAGGCAAGTAGGAGTAATGTTATGCGCTCCTACCCCTCCCGAGCACGGCGGTTGCATTTTAATTGTATGTAATTTAAAAATTAGAAAAGGAGAAAAGAGCCCCGCGGCAAGGCGTGACGCCTTAACTCAGCTTTAAAGGGACGTTTGCAGGCGCTCGGCGGGGTTGACCAGCGGGGCCGGTGCACATGTTCTTTGTTTCTCCCCCCCAGGAATAGGCAGCAAGCAGGAGAACGGGAAAGTGTTCAGCATCACCAACGTGGTGCGCTTCCGGGTGGAGCGCAGGGACCACGGCAGCGTCGTGACGTGCGAGGCCACCCATCCCACGCTGCGGGGGCAGCGGAAGGAGACGCAGTACGTGCTAGATGTACAGTGTAAGTGACCGCAGGGGCCTTGCTGGCGGGGGAAGAGGGCAAAGGCAGGGTTGGCATCAAGTGGCAGGGCTGCAGTGCATTCTGGGCCCAGCTGTGCCCCTTTACCCTCCCCTTCTCCTTTGGGTAGGGTGGGCAGAGGTTACAGAGCTGTGGGCCTCTGGCTCTAAACCACTGGGCCTCTTGGGCTTGCTGCTCAGAAGGTTGGCGGTTTGAATCCCCGCAATGGGGTGAGCTCCCGTTGCTCTGCCCCAGCTACTGCCAACCTAGCAATTCGAAAGCACACCAGTGCAAGTAGATAAATAGGTACCGCTGCGGCGGGAAGGTAAACGGCGTTTCCGTGCGCTCTGGTTTCCATCACGGTGTTCCGTTGTGCCAGAAGCGGTTTAGTCATGCCAGCCACATGAGCTGGAAAGCTGTCTGTGGACAAACACCGGCTCCCTCGGCCTGAAAGCAAGATGAGCGCTGCAACCCCATAGTCACCTTTGACTGGACATAACTGTCCAAGGGTCCTTTACCTTTTACTTCTCTTGGAGGAATGAATGCCCAGGGCAAGAGAGCAGGGGGCTTCCAGAAGGGAATTTAATGGCTTATTTGTTGAATTTCTATACCACCCTTTATCCGAGGATCACAGGGACGGCTTACAGTATAAAAACACACACACACACACACAAAAACACAACATCATAGCAAGCAAAACAATAATGCCTCCCCCTCCCCCCAGCTTAAAAGGGTGTAGCTTGCTTGATTAGCCCTAGGCCTGGGAGAAGAGGAATGTTTTTGCCTGGCGCCTAAAGATATGTAATGAAAGCACCAGGTGAGCCTTCCTGGGGAAAGCAGGGAGTCACCCCAGAAAAGTCCTGTCGTCTCCCTCCAGAGCTACTGTGGAGGGCACACATGAAGAAAGGCCTGAGATGTTGGTCACAGGCTGGTTCATATGAGGAGAGGTGATCCTTGAGGTATTGCTGTCCTGAGCCGCTTAAGGTTTTATTCATCAAAAGCAGCACTTTGAATTGGGCCCATGAACTAATTGGCAGCCAGTACAAGGCTGGTGTAATATGCTCAAGCCGTCTTGCCCCAGTGAGCAAGCAACCTGGCCACTTCATTGTGAAATCGGTGCTGTTGATGACCCTACAGTTCTTTCTCAGCAACCCTCCAATGACATCGTCATCTAAGCGCCCGCCCATACATTTATTTATTTTTACGTTCAAAACGGATTTCCCCTTGCCGTGGAAAATCCAATAAGTGAAAATAACCTGCTCTACATCTGCAGACACTGCTAGTGAATGTGTGAGTGTGCAGGCGCTGACAGAGGAGGTCATGGCTGCTTTGCTCCTCCCTGGTGGCTCTTCCTCTGCTCGCTGCAGGTTTGTGGTTTAGCTCTCATCCCCCACACACCACAACCACAACCACAACCAAGGTTTGCCCTTGGGAGCTGAACAATGCATCTGAGTTTGGACTACACACTTAAGGCAAGCCATGGCTTAGCTCAGTGCAGCAGCTTAAACCCCAAGGAGGGGACCAAAGAGGCTGCAATCTCCTCTCTGGGAGCCTGCACACTCACACACATCCATGCCAAACCATTGGTTGGCTCCATGTGGCATGTGGACCAGAACTCAGTGCAATGCAGGCCTGAGCCTAAACCAAGTGTCTTTTAAAAGCAATGCAGAAAAACCCTGGTTCAGAGACCCTGTCCAGTAGTGTGGTGGGCGAACTCAGATCTCTTCTGAAATTTCCTGCACATTTTCTTCAGTGGGCTCTCAATTTATTGCATGTTCAATTTCCTTGTAGTGTAATAAGTGTCATTTTGGTGTTTCTGTTTATATATACTGGATATAGAGATCTCCTTGCTTTTTATGCATACTGTTTTCTATCGCTCATTTTCGTGGGTGATGCAAAAATCCAGGGAAACTGTTCCAGCCTTCCTTTGCAATCTAACATTCTTTCTATGGCAAGGCAGCTCTTTTAGAAGGAAGAGACAAGGAGGAGGGATGCATGTATTGATATCAGCCACAATGCCAGTGAAAACCTTAATTCCAGGCTTCTAATGGCTCTGACGTCTGAAGGAAGCGTTTCCTCTCCACGGCGAGGGCTGCAAATTGTCGGGCCTTGCTTGAGAAGTGTGACTGTTCTGTGCACGGGCTGATTCGTGACCTCCTGTTTATTCTCTCTATTTCCACCCCAGTCGCTCCCACAGCCAGGATCCATCCGTCTCAGGGGGTGATGCGGGAAGGAGACACTTTAGTTCTGACTTGTGACATCAAAGGCAACCCGCGGTGAGTACTTCCGCAGGATGGGGAAAGCCATAATTAGAGGAGAGGCTGGAGGGAAGGCAGGTTCTGGAATAGAAACACAGGAAGTTGCCTTGTGCTCAGTCAGACAGGTCCACCTGCCTCCAGACTGCCTGTCCTATCAGACAGTCCTATCTCCTGGGTTTCAGACAGAGCCTGTCTTTCTCAGCCCTACCTGCAGGCCATTTTCAAAACCTGCTTGACCACAGGCAAAAGAAGTGGGCATAGAGGCTTCTCCGAAGCCTCTTCTGCTCTTATTCAAAAAACTCCTGCCTGTCTATTTCAGGAGAATCTGCTTTGACTCTCCAGAGTCCACTTCCATCAGGCCCAGCAACATGCTTGTAGTCCAGCAACATCTTGGGGGGGCTGGGTGGGAGGTGGGATGCATCAGGTTAGCCACCCCTCATCCTCAGGCCCTGCTATTGGGCAGCTGGAAGAAAAGAAGAAGAAGAATTTGGATTTGATATCCCGCTTTATCACTACCCTAAGGAGTCTCAAAGCAGCTAATAATCTCCTTTCCCTTCCTCCCACAACAAACGCTCTGTGAGACTTCAAAGAAGTGTGAAGGGTCACCCAGCAGCTGCATGTGGAGGAGCAGGGAATCAAACCCGGTTCACCAGATCACGAGTTCATCACTCTTAACCACTACACCACACTGGAGAGGGGCCACATCCTCTGAGCAGTAGGCATAACAGAGGGCATTTGGGGCAGACTTTCCTTTTTCTGAGACACGACGAAAGCAGCACCTGCTGGAAACGCCCCCCCCCACTTCATAAGACCCCCATCCTTGCTCTGTGGCACCTCTTCCCTGTACACGCGGGGCAAATTGTCCTTGCCTTTCTATATCGCTCTGACTGATGGATACAATTCCCGAGCGGAGTTATTACTTGAGCGCCCCTTGATCCAGCTGCTCGGCTCCGTGTCCCATCCATCACGGGCTCTGGCAGCGCTTGCCGCAAATAACCTTGATGGAAGGAAGGAAAGTGGTGTGTGTTTGTGTGTGCTCATGTGGGGGAGATGAGGCGCTTGTGACCCGCAGGGGCCACCGGAGATGGGCGTTGGGAGGAGAGGGGTAAGGTTAACGCCGGTTGTCCTGACTTCCGCCCTCAGCCCCACGGACATCAAGTGGAGCCGAGCCAACGACTCGTTGCCGGAGCGGGCCTTGACGGAGGGAGAGGTGCTGACCATCCCCAGCCTCAGCATGCTGGATAACGGAACCTACCTGTGCCAGGTGGCCAACAAACATGGCCGCTCGTCGGACCAGTATGTGCTGGTGGTTTACGGTAAGCAACATGTGTTCTCTGGTGCTCCAGAGCTCACCTGCTCCCTCCCTCTCTCCTAAGCTCCGCCCAGAACCCCGGAGTTCACTGCTGTCCTGATGTTCACATGCGGCAGGCGAGGAGTTAAAAGTCTGCTTCAGGGCCATACCACTTTGGACTGTGGGTCAGGGGGAAGCGGGGGGGGTCACATGACAGAACGTCTTTAAAACCCCGCACGTAGAAAGTTAGCCTGTCAGGGAGAAACCTTTCTGCTTGCCAAATATTGTTTTCCTTTGTTCGGGTGATGCGCTAAGTCATGTGAGAGTTATAGTTAGCTGTTTCTGATGACCAGACACCACCACCCCCAAAAAAACACGCCCTTTCTTTTTTTTCAATTTTTTTTATTGATTTTCCAAATTTATAACAAACAAATAAGAAAACATTACAATATAAAAACAGGAAAAACAAACAAACAAACATTTATCCTCACTGTTAATATCCCAATTTTGCTATCATTGTTAAGTGACTTCCTTAAATCCCCCTAGCTGAGTCTCCATATAGGTCATTGTAGCCGTTTTCCAGTACTACTTTCAAATAAAATTAACTTAATCGATTAACATCTGTGGAACCACACCCTTTCTTCCTGGTCCAGATTAAGGGTCTTAGGTGCTGTCGCCTAATGCCAGCGGTGGGGGACCCATGGCCCTCCAAATGTCGGTGGAGTGCCAGTCCCATCACCATCCTAGCTGGGGCTGGTGGGCCGCCAGTTCCTTACTCTTGCTCATATGGCAGCGTCTCTCAACGGAGGTGTTTGGTTTCCCCCTGCCAGGAGGGCAGCCAAAAATAGGGTAGGCTCAGGTCCTCTGCAGGGACGCGGGTGGCGCTGTGGGTTAAACCACAGTGCCTAGGACTTGCCGATCAGAAGGTCGGTGGTTTGAATCCCCGCAACGGGGTGAGCTCCTGTTGCTCGGTCCCTGCTCCTGCCAACCTAGCAGTTGGCAGGAAAGCACGTCAAAGTGCAAGTAGATAAATACTTCCGGCAGGAAGGTAAACGGCGTTTCCGTTTGCTGCTCTGGTTCGCCAGAAGCGGCTTAGTCATGCTGGCCACATGACCCAGAAGCTGTATGCCGGCTCCCTCGGCCAATAAAGCGAGATGAGAGCCACAACCCCGGAGTCGGTCACGACTGGACCTAATGGTCAGGGGTCCCTTTACCTTTACAGGTCCTCTGCCCTGGCCCATACCAAGGTATGAAGCTCGCGGAGGGCACCGCCTCCAGCCACCCACCCCGCCTCTCACACCTTAACCTTTCCCTGTCTTTGGCAGACCCCGGGGCCATTGTGGAGGCCCAGACTTCAGTGCCCTATGCCATTGTCGGGGGCATCCTGGCGCTCCTGGTCTTTCTCGTCATCTGTGTGCTTATAGTCATGGTGTGGTGCTCCATCCGGCAGAAAGGTCAGTGTCAGAAACCTGGTGCCAGCCGGGCAGATAAAAGACACGAGTGCTGATTTATAGAAAGAAAGCTGGGTTGCTCCATCTATCTCTCACCACTGATCTGAGAAACTGCCTTGCAGCACAGTCATTTCATGTCTCTCTCTCTCTCTGTGTGTGTATTCAAAAAGCATATTTCTAGCCTTTGGGGTTGGAGTGAGGAGCTTGAAATGATAAAAGCAGGGAGACCCCGCAGGGCTTGGGAGTGAGGCTTCCTGCCACCGTAGGAAGGACTTTGTGGCTCCTAAAACCAGCCTCTCTCACACAGTCTTTCCCAATCCTCTTTGTACGTGGGGAGGAGAACGCTACAGCTGTGTACACAATTGCCGGCTTAAAACACAGCGAGGTGGGGTTTTTTCCTCAATTCGGATCAAAGGTGGTTTGTGGAGAAATGGATCCAAGCTTAGTATTTCAAAAAAACAACAACACCAAAAACCTACAGGATGCAGAATGTACAGGATGTGTGTACACCACCTGCATTTTTCTTCTAGCCACTCACGGCCAGCTGCAGATTTCGGAGAGGAATTCTTGGGCAAGACACTCAAAGAGTTCCCATTCTCCTTGTTGCCTCTCACTTGCTTGCCCTCTCCCTCTGACCCCAGTCTGCACCTCTGTCCCCAAAGGAAGAAGGAGAAGGAGAAGCAGAGAAATCTGCTCCTTCGGTTCCCACAGCTGGTTGGAGAGGGCAGGCCAGCCGCCCATGGCAGCAATCAGGAACTTGAGATTTCAGGGCTCAGCCAATGAGCGATGGCACCAAGCCCTGGCGCCAGCTTGCAGTGTAACCAACCAGCCGGTTTAGGGTGCACATGTTCGGATGGGGGAACATTCTGCTCTCCTACAATTGCCACTGCACACCCCCTTGGCTGTGGGTACACTCGCTAGAGAGCAGAACCTGATATTCTCTGCCTTCCAGAATTCCTCTTCCTTGATCGTAGCTATTGCTGAACCTTAAGTCCAGTGGGGACGTATGTGCTGGCCCATGTGTCTTCAGAGCCATTCCAACGTGAGGGTGACAGAGTGTGGCTTTCATGCAAACAGAAATAGTGCCAAAGCAAGGATTTGTTCTCTAGTTGTGGGATGAGGACCAACACATGTAATTAGAGGTGTGATTCCTGCACCGCAGGGGGTTGGAATGGGAGACCCTTGGGGTCCTTTCTGAAGTGAAGGACATGAGGCAGGAGTTGATAATGCAGGTGAGCTGCGCACAGGTGAGCTGCAAGCAAGCTGCCGGCCAGCTCTGTGGAGGCTCCTTTTATTGACACAATATGCAAACCCAGGCAGATACATTTTGGGCTGTGACCTTTACACATCGTCCAGTCCCGAGATCGTGGGGTGGTACAAAGTTATTTTGGCCCCTGTTTCCACCGCGTCATTTCCCCCATGCACAATGTATGACAAAGGAGACAAAGGTCTCAGAGACAAAGGTCACAGACAGGACACCGCAGACTACTGAGGCCGCAAAAGGTTAGACAGAGGGGAAGATGTTCAGACAGCTGTGGCCTTATCTGTGAGGGAGAGTGTGCTCTGCACCCCAAGGTCACGCGTACAGGCAGCTGAGGCTGCCCCGCGGGCGAGGAGTGTGCTCCGCACACAGCGATCATTCCTACACCTTTCCAAATCTATGATTCTATGAATGGAGTCGCCTTAGCAAGGTCTTGAGTCTCCTCCAGGGCCCTGTGCACCCCACTTACCATTGCTTGTGCCTAGCCTTCTCCTCAACTCGCACACACACCCGTCCTCTTTTTACAGGCTCCTACCTGACGCACGAGGCAAGCGGCCTGGACGAGCACGGAGAAGCCCGCGAGGCCTTTCTGAATGGCGGCGACGGCCACAAACGCAAGGAGGAATTCTTCATCTGAGTCTGGGAGAGGGGAGGGGGAAGGGGAGGGGTCTGGGGGCTGAGCGCTAGGGGCAGAATGGCCGAGGAGGGGGAGCGCCGAAGGCAGGGGGGAGAGACGTTTATAGAAAAGCTGCCACTCTTGCTGGGGGAGGGGAGGGAGAGGGAAAGAAGGGTTGGATTAAAAAGAGAAAAAAATGCTTAAAAAAAATATCCATTGTGTAAAAAAAAGGGGGGGACACACACATGGCCACCACTTGTTCGGTTTTATTTTTGAAACCGAGGACTTTAGCCCCACCCCCAGCTATGAAGCTCCGCCTCCTGCCATTGTCTGACTCCTCCCCCCTCCATGCCCTCTGCACCAGAGCTATTTCCTTTTACTTCTGGGGAGGATGTTTGCGTGTGTGTATGTGTGAGAGAGAGTGCGTGTGTGTGTGCATGGCCCCACTTCCATAAAAAAGAGCAGGAGGCTGGGATAGCCACAACCCTTTTCTCTTTGGGGACAGGCAGAGCCCTGTGGGAGGGCTTGGGTCTCTTTGTAAATAGCGTAGAAGCCACCCAGCGAGGGAGGTGGAGAGGACACCCAGAGATCCAGGGCTGCTGAGACTGCGAGGGTGGGTCACGGTGTCAAAGGGCCCTTCCCCTTGGAGGGACTGTGGCCCGTTAGCTCTGGGTTTGCTTGTTTGCTTTTCTTTCCGATATTAGCACTGAGTTTCAAAATATCTGGGGAGGGACATATTTTGCTCTGGAGCGCCAGGATCTTCCCAGCAGCCCTGGAGGAGACTCTCGAGTTCAGGGAAGGCGACCAGGGGGGAGAGAGCCATTCTGTGAGTTGGGACCCCCCTCGGGTGTGCTTTGCCCCCAGCCGCTGAGGAGGGGAGCCGCCGGGTCGGAGTGTTTGGCGTGCAGCATGACAGGAGCGTGAGGCTGGGAGTCGCCGGGTCGCCTTGAGTTCTCTTCAGGGCGCCTGGCCCCATATCTCTCCCAGCCGCACCTTTCCCCCCACTGCTAAGCCCAGGGCCGCTCAAGCCGTGTGGGGCCTTATCAAGCAGGTTGGACTCTTTTTATTTTTTCTTCCTTCAAAGCCATGATAGTTTGGGGAGGGAGAGGGAGGGTGGGAAGAGGAAAGGGGGTGTCTCTGTCTGTCTCTGTCGTCCTTGTTATGTGATGTGCCCAGCTGGGGACAGGCGATGGGACTACGGAGCCCCATCGGCGCATTGACCCCCCACAGCCCACACTTTGTCCTTGACAGCCAAGCGTTGCCCCCTGGCCCACAGCCCAGCTTCTGCAGAGAGTGGAGGACATGGGAAAAGAATTTGCATCCGTCTGAATTTGTCAACATATGCAGATTTGACTGTGGCCAGTTTCAGCTCCTCCTCCTCCTCGCCTTTGGGCCTGGTGGCCACGATGTTACGCCATCCCATCCCCAGACCCCGAGAGAGAAACTGCTGTGTCGCTCGCAACACCCCCTTGCCCCTTCCTCCCTCCCTCTCTGCTCGGCCTCCCTCCCCGGAAGCAGCTGGGATCGGCGAAGAAGAGCAGGACGAGAGGCTCAGCAATAGGCACCCCTCCCTCAGCACCTGTCTGGATGTTGCTTTCATGGGTTCAACCTCCCCCAAACACAGCTGCGGTAAAGGGTCATTAAAAAAAGCGAACCCCTGTTACAAACGGCTGCTCTGCCCCAGAGGTGGCTGCAGTGCACTGCTGCAGGGTGCAATGCTGGTGACTGCCAATGGGAGGAATCCCCTGTGGAAATGGCTGCTCCAGAGGCAGCTGCCGCCTCACCCCATGGTCCAGCCCCATGACTGAGCGTTGAACCACAAAAGGGGGGTGCTGAACCCCGTCTCTTCCCCGCTCCCTTCTCCCCCGCCCCACACTCCACTCCTGGTCTTCTTGGTTCCTTCCATCCTTGCCGACGTCCCTCATTTTGTGCCAGTAGATGCCCACTCCTCGCTTTCCCTCGAATTTCCATCCCACCCCCTTTCCCTCTGTCTTTTGTCTGGGGAACAAAACAGAAGAAAAGAAACCGACGTGTGATTCTGTGTCCGTCTCTGGCTCGCGGTTTTTATTTTATATTGTTTGTGTCTCGGAAGGGGAGATTAAAAAAAAAATGAAAAGAATGGAAAATATAATAATTAATATATAACTGGGGGTCGGGAGTATGCAGGGGGGCTTGTTCCTCTGCAGCCCAAGACTGTTTCCCCCACGCCCGAAAGTTAATATATATGTAAATATCTATGTCTGCCTTTTAACCACCTTTGATACTTCAATAAATCCCCCTGATTAATTCTTTTAACACCAGTGGTTGTGGTATCCTTGTTCATGAGTGTGTGCTGTGGAAGTGGTGCTGGCTCTGGAAATGCAGAGAACATTGAGGAGAACCCTCCTGGATCAGGCCGGGGGCTCAGAGTCCAGCAACCTGTTTTCCCAGAGGCCAGCCAGACTCCCATGACAAGCCTGAAAGCAGGACCTGAGCCCTGCAGCCCCCTCCCCTCCTGTTGTTTCCAGCAACTGGTATTCAGAAGTGGAGGTAATGATGTGAGCTCTCTTCGCCTGCCCAACTCCCCAATCCTTCAAGAGTTGAAGCAGACAAACTGGGAATTCTTCTCCACTGCATCCATCTCTAGCCAGGTGCCCAGTAAAAGTGGAGAGGAACAGGGTGGGGTGGGGGCTATTATTTCCCAGTCTTGGAACCCCAGCAAGCTGCCGAGCCTCAATGTCCTCTGGAGCAAACCCCGTGCAGGAGATCCAACTTCTTTTCCTGTGTCGGGGATGCTACTGACAGAGCTTAAAGCGGCAGCAAGCAGATTCGGTGCTTTTGCCGTCACAATCTTTCTGCTGCAAAAGCGGGGGGGGGGGGGGGGGGCGAGGACAGACATATGAAGCCCGACAGGGACAGCCCATGGGTTATGCATTGCTAGCGGGCCAAAGCATCTCATCTCGAGCCCATTTACAGATAAGCGAGCTGGACAAATGTGCCCACCAAGGTGCACACCCAAATTGGATTCGAATTCTGTTTGCCGGATCATCTGTCTCTAGAGCTTCTCACGTTCCTCTCTGGGGCCTGGGGAAATAGACCCTCTGATTTATTTCACGTTTGTTGCTGAAGATGCAGCATAGCCCAGGCCCCAGTAACTTGGGTGCTGATCCATCACCATGTGCCGTCGTCTTCCTGAATCTCGCTCCGTGGCCGTTCTGCCCCACTGCTGTCCCGGTCCTGGATTCTTGCTCCTCTTGTCCACGTTCTTGCCCCATAACATGCTGCATGCACTGCTCTCACATCTTTATGCAGCATCTATACTCACACACACCTGCTCTGCCCTGGTGGCTTCTGCTGTGCCTGTTTCCAGTCCCTGAACAAATGCGCTAAGCCCCCATTTCGGCTGAGGACGGAGAGCCTTGCACATTAGTTCCTGCTTTCCCTTCCATTTCTCTCCTTCACTCTCATTTTTATTACTCCGCCGGGTCCCTCTACGCGTCCCCCATCTGTCATTCTGTACAAAACTCTCTTCTTGTGGAAAACATTCCGACTGGGAGCTACCGGAAAAAATATTTTAAAACAATTGCAGGAGTGGGGGGAATTTAATGTTCAACAAAATGGCATAAATTCTGGGTTTGCGGCACTTTCTGCTCGCGCTTGCCCAAGAATCTGGAGTGGCAATCTAGGTAAAAGCAACGGACCCAGCACTCCATGCAGTCCTCGTGCCTTGGACTCCGTTATTCCTGACCTACGGCTGTGGTTTCCCTGGTCAGGATCAGGCCAAAGAAGCCCATGACCTCATCTATTGTTTGAGATCCCTTTTGCACCCTCTTGGCTGATACTCTCCAGCAGCTATCATCATGACACCCCCATGATTTTGAGTGACGAAGACCAAGATGTGCCTCCCAGCGTGATGAAAGCAATTTGGACAGATGCACGCTGCATTCCAAGGCATGAGGGGAAATAATATATATCCAAATCACCAGCTCCAGGTTACATAAGAAGAGCCTGCTGCTCTCACAGTGGCCAGCCATACCATTTTGAGACCCTGCCATGTCCTGATTTAGCATCATTTTGGGGCAGGGTACCCAGCATGATTTCCTCCAGGTGTTCCTGAACTACAACCCTCAACATCCTTGGCCAGGCTAGCTGGGGCCGATTGGAGATAGGGTTCTCTAGAGAGCACCATGTTAGCTATCCCTGGTCTGGGGCATTGTTGGAAATTTAAATGGCAGCTCTCCTTCCAGGGGGTGAAAGGGGGGGGCGGCGCACCATGTTAACAATCCAAAGTGACTCGCAGTGGAGCATTGTGAGAAATCAAGCAGTCCAGTGCTCATTGGGGCAAACATTGGTTTACTGGGATCCCAGTGGCTGCCTGAGGATGCCCCATGCTGACATTCAGGGCCGGCCCACGTATGAGGCAAAGGGAGGTGACTGCCTCGGGTGGCAGGATCTACAGAGGAAGCAGATCAGCCTCCAAGGAATGCACCACCCTGTGGTGGCATCTAAGGCCGTGGCAAGGCTGTATCTGCCTCTACAGCAGAGTCTTGGTGAACAGGAGGCCCTGCTGGTCTCTTTCCACCCTTATTCCTCACTCCTCCTTCCCTGGCTGGGGAAGGGCGCACCATTTTGTAGCTTGCCCCGAGTGTCAAAATGCCATGAGCCGGCCCTGCTGCTGCCAAGGCTGTCACTTCCTCCTCTACACATAGGCTAAAGATGAAGGCAGGTAATATGGTAAGGAGCACAGCAGTTTAGAGGTGGAGGAAGCGTCTCTGCCCAGAAAAGAGAAGCCTTGGGCTGCCGCGACTGTGTGTGTGTGTGTGTGTGTGTGTGTGTGTTGCTCAGACCACTTTCATAGCTCTTAAGAGTTTCTGTTTGCCTGCCTCGGTGTGCCCTTTCGCCTGCCTTTTCCCCGTTCCGGGTCACAGCGGTGAACTCTCTTAAGCTGGAGGCAGGCAAAGCTGTCTGGGAATCACATCGCTCCTAATGAGTCTCGCTGTGCTCATTAGCGGGCAAGTGTCTTCCCATCATCACAGTCCTGGGCTTCGCTGGGCAACTAATACGACCAGATGCCCAGCTCCACCACCGCAGAACAGCGAGTCCAATGCTGAGCTGCCGAGAAATGAGGGCTCTTGAAAAGTGGAGGAGGAGGGAGAAGAATTTGCCTTCTAGAAAAAGAAAAAAAAAGCGCCCACCCACCTCTTTTCAGGCCCCGGCCCTGCCTGGGATTGCAGTGTTCATCTCCCTGGCCTGAATTTACCTGCAGTGCTTTCTATCTTGCTGGATCACAGCCATATTTCCACTTAACCTAACTCTGCCCCTCTCCAGAGATTGTTCTCCACAACAATGGACCCTTTTTTCTATCTGTCTCGTGCTTCCAGGTCATCTTTGTAGCTTTGTCCCTTCTGGATCCTTGCTGCAGCGCAACCACTTTGATAGGTGTTTCTGGACAGTAGCTGTTTGAAGGCCCTTGCCGTCGTTCTCACATCCAGGCCCTCAGACCATTAAGAAGCTCATACATACCCTCCAGCATTCGTCAGATGAAAATAAGGATGTGTCTCACTCCCCCCAACTGATCCTCCCCAACCCCCCAATTTTGGTCCCCCCTCCCCACCCCACAGAGCATTTCCTGTAAGAAGGACGAGTGTCACCACACCTATGGGACACAACATGCATGCCCTCCACTGCCCTGAAAAAAAACAAAACATGAATCCAGATTTTATCTTATTTTATTCTGTGGTAGATTTACAAGAAGAAAAACACACGAATAAATTAATTTTGAAGAAGAAGAGTATATCTCGCTTTATCACTACCCGAAGGAGTCTCAAAGTGGCTAACAATCTACTTTCCCTTCCTCCCCCACAACAAACACTCTGTGAGGTAAGTGGGGCTGAGAGACTTCAAAGAAGTGTGACTAGTCCACAGTCACCCAGTAGCTGCATGTGGAGGAGTAGGGAATCGAACCCTGCTCACCAGATTATGAGTCCACCGCTCTTAACCACTACACCACACTGGCTCTTTTGGGAAAGGGGTAATATTAGATGCGGACGCACAAAGCATTTTTTTTTAAAATCAAGACTCCTCCTATCCTGCTCTGCCCCCCGCTTTTTTCCAACCCAGCCCTGTCCTCTGCCTTCCCCTCAGAGCCAGCACATCAAGCAGCACAAAAAGGGGACGTGGTGACGCTGTGGGTTAAACAACAGAGCCTAGGGCTTGCCAATCAGAAGGTTGACGGGGTGAGCTCCCGTTGCTCGGTCCCTGCTCCTGCCCACCTAGCAGTTTGAAAGCACGTCAAAGTGCAAGTAGATAAATAGGTACCGCTCCGGCGGGAAGGTAAACAGCATTTCCGTGCACTGCTCTGGTTCGCCAGAAGCGGCTTAGTCATGATGGCCACATGACCTGGAAGCTGTATGCCAGCTCCCTCGGCCAGTAAAGTGAGATGAGCACCGCAACCCCAGAGTCTGCCACGATGGGACCTAATGGTCAGGGGTCCCTTTACCTTTACCTTCTGCCAAAAGGCTGCCAGAGCAGCTTGAAGGCAATCAAAACAAGGCAGTCTCTACCTGCAGGATTACGGTCTGAAAAAACACCACCACAACACACAATGGGACAAGCAGGAAAGAAGCCAGGGCCCCAAAAGCAAGACCTGTGCACAACAGTTAAGAATCATAGAACTGTAGTGTTGGAAGGGACCATGGGGGTCATCTAGTCCAACCCCCATGCAATGCAGGAATCTTTGGCCCAATGTGGGGCTCGAACCCCCAACCCTGAGATTAAGAGTCTCACGCTCTTCCATCAGAGCTGTATCCCTACTTGTGATTCTGTGCCACCAGTACTCAAAGACACTCTGCTCCTGCCAGTGGAGGTAGAACATGGATACCATCCCATTTTTAGTGCAAAGTTTAAGTAGCCCCTGCTTCTCAGTTTTGGTAAAAAACAAAACACCTGCCTGCGCTCCTTTACCTGGCTTCTGCGGTACGGAATAAAAGGACCTACCTGTCCCTTGGCCGTTTTTATTAGCCTTCCACCTGCGATCGTTTGAGAAGGCCCCACAGCCCTCACGCAGCTCTTCTGCAGCCTCTTCCGAATCAGGCCGCTGGGCCCATCTGTCCCCGAATCCCAAATGTCACGGCGACCGGCAGAACAAAGATGGATGGCGCCTGATCGTTGGGGCAGCAAACTCATCTCGGAATCAAATTGTTCCTAACGAGCCTCATTCTGCTCATTAGCAAGGTGAGTGTCTTCCTGGCCTCTTGGTCGAGAGGGTTTCCTTGGGTGCCTAATCCAATCAGCCCCCAGCCACTGTCGGGGCAGGAGCAAA